GAGTCAATGAGTCGATGCAATCAACTGGTTTTCCGTAGATAGAAAACTTTTAATCAATTTGACTGATGATCTGGTTGAACTATAAAGTACCTTGACATTACGTGTTCTGAATTGGAACTATAGAAATAAAGTGTATTGAATTGAATATACCACAATATAATTTTAAATAATAACAGTAATATGACTTTTCTGATCTTTTAACATATATGGTTTCCTGTAGCTTTTTGTGCTCTTTTTTTAAACAGTTATATTGAAAGAGTTAACGATCTTTCTGAGGCCTTTATTTTGTTTGCATTGTATTTAAATTGTTTAGGGTGTCATTCAAAATGAAGAAATATATCATGAGTTAAGGAATATATCAATCTAGGGATGAGCAGGTGGCGATAACAGAGAAGCTTTCATTACGACCCTGTATGACCCCCTATGTGAGTTGTTCTTCACATCATTTTGTTTTTATTATTCTAAATACTGTATTCTCCATCCTCCCTCTTCTATGTATTTTTATCCTCTGTTTCTTTTAGTTTGCTTCAGTTGGCTTTTGTCACTACTTTAAGGCGCTTTAGAAATATAGTCATATGGCATGGTAATATACAGAGGGGGTTCTAATTAGTTATATTTACTTAAGTAACTTTTATATTCCTTTTTAGAGCATTGAAGATGGGTCAAGACTAGGTCAACGACCCGATGCACACAGCCAGGATAACCAAGGAGTGACTCTGGAGGAAGAGTCAGGCCCAGAAACCTGACTGATCTAGAGAAGATGTGCAGAGGAGTGGGCCAAAATCCCTCCTGCAGCGCGTGCAAACCTGATGAAAAACTTACAACAAAACGTTTGACCTTTCTAGTTGCAAGCAAAGGCTACTCCACCAAATAATGACATTGATTTTCTCAGGTGTTCAAATATTTATTTGCAGCTGTATCACAGAAATAAATTGTTAAAAAAAATCGTATATTGTGATTTTTTTTAATATTATGTGTCTCTCAGTGGACATGCACCTATGATGACATTTCCGACTAGTCCATGATTTCTAGGTGGAAGAACTTGCAAAATAGCAGGGTGCTCAGATACTTATTTTACTTACTGTATATATATGTGTGTATATATATATATATATATATATATATATATATATATATATATATATATATATATATATATATATATATATATACGCACACACATGACTTCACAGCACCGTGTTAATTCAATGCAGTGAATAAATAGAGATCAGGTTATTTTATTATACATCTGGTAATATGCCACATAAAGTAAATAAATGTATGTTCAAATGTTTTTTGTTGTTGTTGTTGTTTATATCATCCATACAGCATTCTACATCACAAAAAAAACATTGCCTCAACTATGTAACAGTACATTTAGTTAAGGTACCACTACCTCTGCAAAACCTTGTTGTAAACACAATCTGTTTGTGCCCTCTGTTGGAGAATATGTGTACTACATGCTACAAGTGCCAGACAGATGGCCAATGTGCTGTAGGCTTTAAGGTGGCAGGGGCGTATTAAGGCAAAGTGAGGCATGGGGCCCCCTGAATAGAAAAGACAACACATAAAACAGACCTGTTATACGCATACAGAATTCTATGTTAAATTTTATTATTTATAAATAAGTGCTTTTATTTTAAATCAAAGGGCTAGAGGGGTATGAAAAGTATTTAAATATAGTGACGAAAGCATTTGTTTTCAAATGGTTAGCTGCTGTCTGTTTGGACCTTTCTGAACATGTGCAGCAAATGGACTGATCCAATATGGTGGACACTGAAGGGGGGGCTGAGACACACTTAATATTATAAGCATTCTGATGGCATTTTAGTGAAAGGATTTTTGTCAAAAACTTAATTAATTTGCCAAAACAAGTAACAGCTGTATTAACCGTACATGTAATAGGAGGTTTAGGGGGGCCCCAGGAACTTGGGGCCCTAAGCAACTGCCTAGTTTTGTTTAATCTTAAAACCGCCCCTGTAAGTTGATACACTATATTAGATATCAGAAGAAAATGAGTAATACAGATAATATCTAAGATACATTTTGTTTCTCTAAAAGCATCTTTAATAGAATAAAACTGAAGGTTTTGATATAATATATAGTTAAAAGGGAAAATGTGAGATCTATAATAAATTAATGCACATTTCCTTTAAAAATGCTGAACTCCTTACCATTGAGCTTAATGTTTTGGATGTTCTGCAGATGTTTCACCGTCATTTCCAGGATGTCTGCCTTCTCCAGCTTGGATTGCTGTTCAGAAGAAAGAATCCTTAAAGTTATTGATGTGTTTAGTTTTCTTTGAGGATGAGATGGGAGGGATGCGGCTCTTACATCCAGCCCAAAGGCTCCGATCACAGCCTCCTTCAGCTGATCCAGGCAGTTGTTGATTCTCTCCCGTCGTTTCCTCTCAATCAGCGGCTTCCTCAGCTGCAGCAAAAAGGATTTAAAAATAAAAAAAACATAATAATATGATTTTATTAGGCCAGACAGATTGGTACCTTTCTCTCCTCCTTTGCTCTGGGGTGTCTGTCCACGTTTTGCGCAGCAGTGGATGCAGTCATGTTTGAAGCCAGTGCGTCTCTGAGCTTCTGCTCTGGATCTCAGCGCGTCTCTAGGGTCCTCCGCGCGCCACAAGCCTCTTATTTATAGGACGCCATTAGCATGTGAATGAGCAAGGGCTCTGCTTGCAGGATTTTCCCACACAGGGTCCCCATCAGTCAAGAATGACAGCTCACTGACTTCATTCAATGAACCTGGAAAAAAAAAAGTCTAAGCAGCGACAGATGTCCAGCCTGAAACTAAGCACTGACCTCACTCCACCCAACAGCAAACAAAACAAAACAACTAAAAAAAAGCTGCAGTTTCCTCTTTCTCTGTGTTGAACCAGAAGCTGTTATTAACGTCCTTCAGCCAGGGGTGGATCTGGGAAATGTGGGGCCCTAGGCAGAGACAGGCAGGGGCCCTCTGAACTGAGAAGACAACATATAAACCAGACCCATTCTACAGATAGAGAAATGTTAATAGAATAGACATCAATTCTCTGTTCTAGGTTTTGTCCCTCTCTTCTTGTTGTTTTCCTCTCTATGTTTTGTACTCAGCTGACTTTTCATGCCGTCTCACAAGGAATGAAAGATTTTTTTCCAAGCACTAAGCTCACTTAGTGAGCTTAGATTAATATGACTTTCATCATATTAATCAAAGAGAGGATTTACAGAAAATTAAAAATGACGATATCTAAAATGAAATTGGAAATTTACGGAGCCCCTAACGGGACATGGAGGGAAAAAATAAACTGTTGCGAGATCCCGCAATACTTTTAAGGCGCTTTTAAGGAGGGATCTCGCAAAAGTTCTTTTTTTCCCCCTCCATGTCCCTTTAGGGGCTCCGTAGAAATTAAAAGGAATAATATTTTTTTTTTAATCATGTATGACGTCTAGGTGAACGCTGACTCCTCCACTTCATAGGTCAGTATTGACGGCCTTTCCTGTCATGTTTGGTTTAAGATTTCTAACCCACATGCAGAACACTCAGAGGCAAGAGAAAAGTTCAAAGGTTTATTTGAGAAGATTGAATGATCAGATCCAGTGGGGAACTCGACTGGTCACGAGTGGGTTCACTGCAGAGGAGGACAGAGGAGTTAGTGGAGGTCCAGGTTATTTGCAGGATGAGAGTGTGCAGGGCTGTACCTGTTCTGGAGTTGAGCAGAGCTGCTGAGGGGGGAAACTTGAGGGTCCAGAGGCTGTTGGCAGGCTGAGGGCTAGGCGGAGGCAGAGCTTAATTTGAGTGCTGGCAGATCACAGATTAGAGTTTCCTTCCAGTATCTTCTGAGAGCGGGCAGGCAGATCACCGGTAGAGAAACTCTTCAGGGTTTCAGGCAGGTTCAATCTAGGAAGCAGAGAGGAGAAAACAGGTCAGGTTCAGGTTTTCAGGGAGTCAGAGGTTCAGACAGGCTGGTTGGCTCAGGCTTGCTAACCGTTACTGGGAAACACTCTGGCACTGGAGAGAAGTCCTCTGCCTCCTTAAATACGGATCTCCTGATGAGCAGATGAGC